GGACAGAAGAGTTTGGGGGTCTGATCGCAAGGGGATGCTGGGGCTGGGGTGGGGTGGCGAGAGGCGCCCTTGGTCACTGAGTGGGGGGCCTCCCTGGGCTGCCGTTGGATAGGGCTGGCGTAGCAGGCTTCACCGCTGATGCCCCACTTGTGTCGACCACGTCGCGCCTCCCACCTGAAAACAGCCGCGCTCGTCACACAAATGCTCGCCGCATCAACCCACTCAATGTGGCGGCCCGCGCCACTGCAGCACCGGCCCGAGCGCGGCCGTGCGAGTGACAGGGCGAGCGACGCGGCTGCCGGCACATGCTCACCAGGGTGCCGCCAAGTGTGGGCTGCAGGTAGCGCATCGCCATCTCATACTCTTTGTCGGGCCCCGGAAACCCGGCCCCCGCAAAGTTCTGGCGCCAGCCGCGCTCGTACACAAAGCTGATGAGCGGCTGCCTGCGATGCAGCGGTGCAGGGGTCAAGGATTCAGGGAGGGCCGGGGGGTGATGTGGCAGCGCTGAGGGTGTGGAGCTGCTGGGGACAGCATGCAGCTCTCATGGAGCTCACATTCGCCGCAAGCAACGGCCCCAGGTAGACAAGGGTCTCCCGCGGTCGACAACAGCAAGAGGTGCGGCGCAGCACGCCCCAGCACGGCACGGCACTGCTTGCATGGGGCGGTACGGCAGGGCGCGGCGTGGGTGGCAAGCAGCGGGCGCGCGGCGCCACCTGAAGAGCTCGGTGGACTGCGCCGTGCTCTGTTTGAACACGCGCGAGGGCGCCCCAGATGTGAGGGTGAGGTCCAAGTACGAGGTGCCCGCCGGCTCGAAGGTGCGCTGGCAGCGGGGGCAGGAGAGCCGCTGGTAGCTACAAGCCGTCAGGGCAGGTGGGAGGTAGGGAGGGGGGGAGGAGAGGCGGGTGAGGGGACACGCAGGGAGGCTGGAGGAAAACGGATGCATGCACGGCGGGTGGGATGGATTGGCGACGGCCGGGAGGCATCATATGGCGACCGCAAGGGGAGAAACCAAGCTGCCACGCCACGGCTGCTGCGGCGTGCCAGTCTGCGGCGAATCGACGGGCCCTGACCACCCTGAATGCTGCGCTGCTGTGTGCAGAGCCTTTCAGTGCCCCGACAGATCGCCCTGTTGCGAGTGCCCCCCCCCCCACCCATGGCATGCCCTCCCCTTGTGCCCTGGCGCCCCGACGCCTGCTGCATGCGGCGCATGCTGAGCCCGCTGGACACGTCTGCGGCCCAAGGCGGCTCACGCGGCTGAGGATGCGGGGACGTCAAACGTGGTGGTCTGACAGATGGGACACGCCAAGCTGAAGCTGATGCGGGCGTTTGCGTCGCCAAGAGGGCCGGCCGCCTGCGCCGGCGCCTCTGGCGTTGCCACCCTCACGACATGGGCATGCCTGCGGGTGATCGGGGTCCGGGCAGCAGCAAGGGAGCGTGCCGCACGCCGCGGTGAGGCGTGCTGCGCATGTGTGGTCGGCGCAGCGGTCGGGGTGGCCACTGGGCGGCTTGAAAACCCCGTAACGTCGGTCAGCTGGTTCAGTCGCCACCTTGAGTGCCGACCGCTTTGCTTGAAAGCTATGCAGTGAGCCCGCGCGCGGAGTGGGATGGAGCTGTGCATGCTGCCGCTGTCGCCAGTGTTTACACGAGCAAACAAGATAAACTGCGCTGTCACAAGCTTTTCAGATGATCATGAATGAAACAGGAAGCTGCAGGTGTTGTCTGTTGTGTGCATGAACGGTCGGTGGGGCGCCGTCAGCAGGACCGGGCATCGTCGCTGATGTGACGGGCAACAGCCTGTGTTGAGAACAGCAGGGGTCACATGCGCGGTCATATAAACTCCGTCGTACCATGCATGCAGTGATGAGGGGTCGATTACCGTGGGGCGCCCAGAGTGGTCACCTCTGCAGACGCAGCACACAGCAGCGCTGCTGTGTGCGACGGCTATCTGTCGCAAGCAGCACTGCTGAGCAGTGTGCTCAAAGCGAGTGGGGTATCTCTGCCAATACCCAGTAAAGCAAGCAAATTGTAGGAACGCGAACCACGCCAAGCTGCTTGTCGATGAGTAGAGTTGCATGCCTTGTAAAAAGCGTCACTCCATGGGATGGACAGCAGGAGCACTCAGCTTCTGTGAGCAGGAGGCTGCAGGCAAGCACGCACTTGGAAAACCCAGAGCCTACTCACCTCATGTGACCAGACCCGCCATTGCTATGGTGTTGCACGCAAGGACGTCTACTCCTGCTCAGCCTCCAGGTGCGCACTGCCATTCATTGCGTCCTCCCTGGCGTCCGCTGCCGACATGCCCGTCTTGCCCCAACAACCCCCCCCCCCCTCACGTCCCCTGCCTGGAGCGCCAGCGGGTGTCTTTTACTATTCTTGTGCAGCAACTTTACTTGGCCCGTCTGTCATGCCTTGCTTTCCCAATGTCCCTTACTGTGCAGGCCAAGGTTCACAACCGAATTACTCTCACACGTCTCGCCTGCTAGCCAGCAAAACCTAAGTCCCACGCGTGCGCATACACCTGCGTGCAGCAAAACCGGCCAATTTGCAGTGCAGATAGAAGACCAAAATCCCAAGGTGCCTTGGCATACTGCATGCAGCAAGCACTGCACATGCACAAAGCTTGTCTACACGTCCACGCTCATACGCACACCGAGCCGCTTGCGCATCCGACACGCATGAAGCCGCAACCATTCCCTTCACAGCTCCCCCGCGCTGGCCTTCTTGCCGCTCCGCCTGCTAAGCTCGTCCTGCAGCTGCCCTGCCAGATCCTTGCCTGCATCGGCGGCCTTGCCCACACCCTGGCCAGCCGCCGCGCCCGCGCCGCGCGCATTCTCGCCACCGCGGCCGAGCGCATGCTTAACTGCCTCGGCCGCGCGCGCACCCAGGCCGGCGGCGCCAGCACTGCCTTCGTCTGCGGCCTGCTGAGCCTTAGCGTTCCCCAGGCCGACAGTTGAGGTGATCTTGTCCCACACGCCAGCGGCCTGCTCACTGCCGTCCTGCGCCGCGCCGCGAGCAGCGCTCTTGGTCCTCGTGGCAGCATCCTCAGCCTGCTGCTGGCTGAGGCCGACCATCGATGCCAGACGATCCTTCGCCTCTTCCCAGGTGCCGGCGGCCTGGTCGCTGCCCTGCTGCGCCGCGCCCCTGGCCTTGGCAGCCGCGCCCTCAGCCTGCTGCTGGCCCAGGCCGACCATCGATGCGAGGCGCTCCTTCGTCTCATCCCACGTGCCGGCCGCCTGGTCGCTGCCCTGCTGGGCTGCACTCTTGGCCTTGGCAGCCGCGCCCTCAGTCTGCTGCTGGCCCAGGCCGACCATCGATGCGAGGCGCTCCTTCGTCTCGTCCCAAGTGCCGGCAGCATGCTCGCCGCCCTGCTGGGCGGCGGCCTTAGCCTTGGCAGCCGCAGCCTCGGCGTCGCGCTGGCCCAGGCCGACCGTCGAACTTATCTTATCCCAAACGCCCGCAGCCTGCTCGCTGGCCTGCTGCGCCGCGCCGCGGACGGTGCCGGTGGTGCTGGCGGCAGCTTCCCCGGCCCGCTGCTGACCAAGGCCTACCATGGACGCCAAACGCTCCTTCGTTTCGTCCCAAGTGCCGGCAGCCTGCTCGCCCGCCTGCTGGCCGGCGCCGCGGGCGGCGTCCGCCGCGCGGCTCGCTTGGTCCGCAGCGCCCGCACGCACGTCCTCGGCGCGGGCCGACGCCTTGTCAACCGTCTTGCCTGCGTACTGCTTCCCTGCCTCTGCCTGCTCCTCCGCGCCCAGCCACATCTTCTGGGCGCTGTGACGCAGCTTCTCTGCAGCTGCCGCGAGGCTGGCCTTGGCCTGCTCGGCGGCGCCGCTGGCCGTGTCATACATAGAGCCAGCGGCGTCCTGGGCAGTGCCCGAGGCGCGTGCGGCGGCATCCTTTGCCGAATCTGCGGCGTACTCGCCAGCGTCGCTGGCCGCACCGGCAGCGCCCGCGGCCGCGTCCCTCGCGGGGCGCGTCGCGCGGTCAGCGGCGTCACCGGCGGTGCTGGCGGCGCCGGCGGCGGCGTCCTTGGTGGACCGGGCTGTGTCGGCAGCAGCGTCCTTGGTCGACCGTGCGGCGCCCTTAGTAGCGTCGCTGGCACGCGCCGCGGCGTCGCCGGCGGCGTCCGCGGCGCCTGCGGCGGTGTCCTTGGTGGAACGGGCAGCGTGCCACGCTGCGTCCTTGGCCGGCCGGGCCGCGTCCGAGGCTGCGTCGCCGGCTGCCCCCGCGGCGCCAGCGGCGGCCCCTGCCGCGCTCGCGGCCGTGTCCTTGGTGAGGCGCGACGCCCGGGACGCAGCGTCCTTGGCTGACTCCGCCGCGCCCGAGGCGGCGTCACCGGCCGCTCCTGCGGCGCCGGCAGCGGTGTCCTTGGTGTGGCGTGACGCCCGGGACGCGGCGTTCTTGGCTGACTCCGCCGCGCCTGACGCTGCGTCGCCGGCGGCGCCGACTGCGTCGGAGGCGGCGTCCTTGGCGGAGCGTGCGGCGACAGTCACGGTGCCGGCGGCCTTGGCGCCTGCGTCCTTGGCGGCGCGGGCGGTGGCGCCGGCGACGCTTTCATGGGGGGTGTTGGCCTTGATATCCTCATCAGTCAGGAGATCTTTGGGGTCAGCTGTCTGTGAGGGGGAGAAAAAGAAGGGGGGGGGGTGCAATTTTTGGGTCAGTTGTCCCAAAGACGGAGTGAGAGAGTGCAATTCATAACACTCAGCAGCCTGATCAATCACATGGATGGAGCGCATGCATTCGCAGACAGGCGCGCGGACGAGAGAGACGCACGCATGCGCGTGGCGCCCGATGTGCGCGAGTGTCACAGGTCTCTCGGCGTGAGGGGACGGCGGCGCATGCACACCTTGATGACGGCGCTCTGGCCCTGTAGGGTGGTGATGGTGTTGGGATTCTCGGCCTGCAGCAGCACTGGCGTCTGTTCGAGAGCGAGGGAGGTGAGAAGCGGGTGAGGGGGGGCGAGGATGATGGGCGGAGGGAGCTTTCGGACACCAGGGCAATGCGACCTTTAAGGATGACCGCATGGTTCTCAACCGACTAGCATGGAAACCCCCGCAGTGCGCTGCGGCCAAGGTCTGCTAATTGAATCACATCTGGGGACACCTTGTGTGCAACCCTGTGCTGACAGCCAACAAATACACATTACACCCACCTGCTGCACGGCCGCCAGCGCAGCACCCAGGGCAGCGGCGGCGAGCAAGGCCAGCACAATTGTCCTGGAACAATACATGATGTCTAAATACTCCTTTCGTTACAGAAGCTAGTTTGAAGATGTCAGCAACAGGTGAAAGCTGCGCGAAATGGGATCCACGGCGATCCAATGCACAAACGACGGTGGTCAGCCGGGAGACTATACGGGCTGAGCATCAAGGCATAAACGATATAGAGATGCATGCGAGGGAATTACCGCTGACCCAGCATCATGATGCGCAACACACACGCTTCGATGACATCATCGCACCCCGGGGGGGTCGCAGCTTCACGCCTTGTCAGTCGAAGGCGGCCGGGACGCCGCCGCCGCTGCCCTTGCGGTCGCCGCCGCTCGCCGCCTTTTTGCCCGCGGCCACGAGCGCCCCGAAGCCCTTCTTCAGGCCGGACGCCGCCACCGCCGTCAGCATGCCGGCCTTCTCTCGCAGCTCCCTCAGCTCGTCTGCGCCTGCGTGGTGCAAGCGGAGCGGTACGGGGAGTGTGTTCACCCCATCAGCAGAGGGACCTCTTACTTCGTGAAAGTGCGTGGTGGTGCCATTCTACATCTCCTGTATGCTGCCGTATTACATCTCATTATCGCTCAGCAGCCTCGAACCCCAGGTTCAATGGCCCCCTCCCAAACAACGGCAAGGCTCACCGCCATGCCCCGCCTGCTGCTGCGCCGTGTTTGCCGCCGGCCGTGCGCCAGACTGCCTGTCCCGCAGCGCCGCCTCGACCTCCTTTGAGCTCTGGCCCCTGTGAATACAGAGCAGCGGCCTGAATGTGCAGAAATATCGTGCATGATACAGGCGGGAGCCGCGTGGCTGTCAATTTTCTTGCTATGCAATAACCTCCCATGTGCACTCCCGCCAGCTCATGGCAGCATGCGTGCAGGCAGCCAAACACAATGCGCTTGCCTGTATCTGTCTATGACCGCCATCGGCAGGCTGCCCACTCCCGCAAACGCCACCTCCATGAGCCTGTCGCGGTCGTGCATGGCGGCCGCCGCCTGGCGCATGTGGATGATCATCTCCCCTGCGCGTGAGGGCCCGCGGAACATCTCAGCTCAAGGCCTTCAGGGGAAGGGCGGTGCACGTCCGCAAGCAGCTGGCAGCCCCTCAGGCGTGGCCGTCACGACTGCAGCGTCCAGGGCGTGTCCGGGTCAAATATTGGCGGTCTTGATGTGACAGACGGCTGTACCTGCATTGTCGAACGCCAGCAGCCGCTCCTCGTTGAGGCTCAGCAGCGCCAGCGCTACCCGGAACAGCACCTGTCGATTTGGCGCGCCGCGCTCAGCAGGCGACCCATCACAGCTCATCTGGGAGGCACGCCAGTAGGCTTGCCGCGCTCACCGGGGATTGCGAAAACCGAGGGGATACCTGTGCACTGCCAGCCGCCGCCCAGCGCACCTTTGGGCCCTCGTTCATGAGTGCGTCCCACACCCTGGCTGCGCTCTCGCTGGGCATGGAGGACGCAAACAGCGATAGGTACCTGCGGGACGTGCAGCCGCAAGACGCACGCAAGAAATTATGGTGCCATCTGGGCCGGCCTCAGCTGAGCTCGTTCGTACGTGTGGCTCCCCGGGCATGCAGCCGACCACCAGCAAAGCGGACGCACCAGTCCGTGGCGATGATGCTGACATCCGCCTCCAGTGCCGCCATGTGGGCCGCCAGGCGCGGCAGCTTTGTGGACATCAAATCTTCCAGTGCTCGCATCTCGACCTGGCGGGGCGACAAGCCGCATGGGACACGGTGTTTTGCAAGGTGCCTGTTCAAATCAAAGCTCCTTTTGCCGACTTTGTCTACGGGCTGTTGCCTTTGATGCTCCATGTATGTATGGTGCGCACGCCTATCGGCGGACGGCCCTGGATTCCAGGACGAGGGGGCAGAAAAGGAGCGCTCACCTGGCAGCCGACGAGGTTGGGGGAGTAGGTGCCGTCGTAGAGGGTGCCCTCCACCAGCTGGGCCAGCAGCCAGAAAGCGCTCTCCTGCGAATACAGGGGCGGCGCGCAGGATTCAAGGAAAAGTTGGATTTTAGAGGGGCTGGGGCAGTGTGTGCATGAATGGGCGCTGGCTTTGGACCTCCCATGCCCCCTTAAAGCCGCTCCTTGGGCCATCGCCTTGGGACAGCTTCAAGCAGCGCGAATGGAAGGTCTTTCACTTGCTGTGGCATTGTATTGCAACCGGGCCGCTCACCTGGTTGCGGTTGAGGGCCACCAGCAGCAGTCCCACGATGTGGCTAAGGGGCCTGCGTTATATCATGGGGGGGTCCCCCGCTGTGGCCAGGCGTGCCGCACAAAGGCGTTTGCAGGCGATTGGTGCTGCAGGTGCTGCTGCTGCATGCACGCCCTTGTTATACATGCCTCTGCGCCAGCTGATCAAGGGGAGCAAGACCAGCAGCCGGGCCCTCCCTCCCCTGCGCGCACCTCGTGTAGCCGACTTTGGGGTTATGGAGGGAGAAGGCCGCCAGGACGCGCCGCAGTGCTGTCTGCCCTTCCTCGCTTTGCAGCCACGGGTGGTTTGGGAACGCACACTTCACGTCCTGCGCAGGGACCGGATGCGGTGGCAGGGGGCAGGCTGTGCTTCGTTGTGCCCTTGCATGGTTGAGTGCTGCCATACAAACACCGCCATGCAACTGCTTTGCAAGATGAGGTGCATGCAGCCAACATGGGCGCTGGCTGCACTTGCATGTGTCCTGCTGACAAGCAGGGGCCGCATGTGTTTGACCTGCGCCGCTGGCAGTCCTCAAATGCGCCATGCAGACGAACAAGGGTCGATCCAGCGCAGCCGCATGCCCACTTGCATGCGGCTGCTGCGCTGTGCTGCCCCTTGTCTGAGCTACACAGCAGTGCTACCGGCTCTGCCAGCTCCCGCCCTCCTCGACCCACCTGGTCGATCTGTTTGAGGTGGGGCGACTCCTTCTCCCCAGCCAGGGCCATGCTTGTGTAGTAGCTCGGGCTGAACGCCGCGCGCTTGGCCGCCGCGCCCGACGCCTCCATCCAGACCCAGGGCCGCAGCGTGGGCGGCACGCCGAGGCGCACCATGTCTTTGAGCTTGTGCTCTGAGGGCAGACGGCCCTCCTGGATGTAGGGCGCCCACGCCCTGCGGCGGCAGGGGGTGCCGTTGGGGCGCTTGTTTGGTTCATGGGTATGGCGGGACGCACGTGGCGCCTGGCGGGACAGCGGCTGCCAGGCTGGGTCGTTTTGCATGCAACAAACAACCAGGACGCATATGGTGATGATCGGATTTATGCACCGCATGGGCGTGGCGAAAGCAGACTTGTAATAGCAGACTGTGCACCCTGCAGAACGCGTCGAGCGCGCACCGCTCGGCGCGGAGGGCGGCGCCGTCGCACTGGAGGCGTACGGCCTGTGCGACCACGTTGTGAGGAATATCGAAGCCGTACAAGTCCGTCATTGGCTGAGGCGCGTCCACCGATGGAAAGGGCTCGTCCATTTCTGCTTTTGTGCTCGGTTTTGACCGAGGATCAGGCAAGATTTGAGCGGTACGGGTTTGAAAACTAGTTTGATAATATAACACGCAGCCCTATGGGTTGTAGGGCACGATCGTTGAGTGCAGCACCTGACGCAGCTGCCTCCGCTGCCGTGTCAGCCGACCATAAGCGCTAGCAGCGCGCCCAAAGAGCGACCAGCCCGCGAGCGCCTTGATAGTTGGACCGTACACACAGAAGACGTGCAGCTTACAGAAATTCCATAAGCTTCATGTATATCCTGGTCAGCTGTCGTGTACTTGTACTTCGCCCGCAGTCCAGTCCACCTGACGTTACCCTGCTGTCCCCTGCCGAACGCCCCCGCTGGCCGCCACGCCCCCCAGCCGCAGGCGCCAGTTTGGGAGGCCAAATCATACTGCCTCGAGTCAGCGGCATCATTACTCCCCGACCCGTCCCCACTGCACGGAGCAGTTGTTGGAAACCTTTCGATGATGTGGCATCTGAGATGTCAGCAGACGTCTGACAGGTTTTCATAGCAACGCCCTCACTGCAAATCCCCCCTGTTTGGACCACCTGAATAGGCAGCCGATGGGCTGACCCGATATGCTGGTGCATGGTGGTTTGCGTGACACCTGCGTTTGCGTGACACCCTGCGTGACAATGGCAAAGCGTGCGTTGGTGTCAGGCCCTGGGGACTGCAACCAGGGGGTCATATCGTGCTGCTGACTTTCGGTGGTGCAGGGCGGCATCCATGACGCCACTGCAAAGCACACAAAGGCTGTAGTGAGGGTTTCGAGCCGTGTCGTTTACCAACAGAAGGTGCCAGGTGTTAGCCCAGACTAGTATATTATAAACAGCAAGTGTCAAAAAGTAGCAGCGCAGTTGCTCCATGTGCATTAATCAACAGGGCGGCGGGCCGAGTGCTGCCCCAGGCAGCACAATAAATGTGACGCGCTTAATTGCCCAGAGCGCGAACAGATGGGTCCCAGTGGGCATGCGTTCAGGTTGCGCTCAAACAGCTCATATTCTGCTGAAAGCCTTGGATGCCTGCCGCGCCAAGCCGTTCATGCGGCACGAGAGAATCGCTTGCGCCCACACCTTGTGTAGAAGTAGGCAGTTTTGTGTGAGCGACCAAACCCCACGCACGCCCCCTTGCCAACACCCCGTGCCCGTGTGCAACCTGCGTGCAGGGACCTTCTTTGATAGTAGCTCTCTTCAATAAAGTCAAACCAGTTTTGTGAATGTTCGGCCGGGTGGCAACCAAGCGCTAAACAACGCCACGGCGCCCGCAGGGTCGCCGGGCCATAGAATCAAGGCGCCACATCAGCGGCCGCCCCTCTGGATCGACGCCTTGGCCTTCGCCGTGACCTTCCGCGGGATCCGTAGGAACTTTGGCACGTGGTGCTGAATGAACGTCAGGATCGGTCTCACAGCCGGCATGAGGCAGGGGTCCACCAGCGCCTTTTCGACTTCCACGATCGCGTAGACCAGCACCATGCAAACGAACACGCGCGCCCACTGGATGCCCGTCATGCCCTCAGACATGTAGAAGAAGGTGTTGAGGCCGGGGACGTAGGTTAGCATGAACTGCAGCGCCGCGGTGACGGCGATGGAAATGAAGCAGAGGGGGTTGCCACGGAAGCTGCGCGGGTGGAAGCTGGTCGCCTTGACGAAGCGGGTCGTGAGGGCGTAGGCGATTTCGCCGAAGACGAGGGTGTTGAAGGCCTCGGCGCGGCGTTGCGGCAGGGACAGGCCAGTGGCGGCGCCCCACTCGAACATGCCGAGCACGAAGATCACCAGCAGGACGGACACGAACGCGCAGCGCCTGGGAGGGGGGCGGAGTAGTTGGACGCGATGAGCCTGTAACCGCAGCCGGGCTGTCCAGAGGCCGCTGCTTGTGCGGGCACCCCAGCAGGCAGCGCCAATGAACACCGCCGCCAGCCGCAGCAAGGGCAACTGGTCGAGTAAAGCACGTGTGCGTCGCCCCCGCCTGCCGCAGCGCCGCCGGCTCCACACCGGGCTTCTGCACACACACCCTGGCCTGTGCCGTGTGTGCGCGGCTGCAGTAAACAAGTTGACAACCCAACCCTAGCTGCTTCGCCCCAGGCCGGCGCACTGCGCTTGGGGACCCACCAGAGGATCAGCTTCCCCAGCAGCCTCTTCCCCGGGCGCCGCGGGGGGCGCTGCATGATGTCGGGCTCCGCGGGCTCCGCGGCCAGCATCATGCCCATGGTGATGGCTGTGATGAGGTTCACGTACAGCCTGCGCAGAGGGACCACCGGTGGAGGCGGGGGTGTAGGCATGAATGAGGCATATACAACATCACACTGAAGCGGTGGTGGCAGGGACGCGGCGTGCGCCGCCTTCGGAGAGTGGGAGGGTGGGTTGCCTGCGGGCAACTGGCGGGCCCGCATTTGACGAGTGCTTTTCTGCACTGATCAGCTGGTTAGCTCACACTTGGATGGCCGTGAGGGGGGCCTCCTTGAAGCCCACGACATAGGCCCAGAAGATCGAGGTGCCCTGGGCAAAGTTGACCGGCAGGTTGAACAGCAGGATCTGGGGGAAGGTGGAGGGGCGGCAGCACGGGAGACAGAGGGGGGTGGGTGGATGAGATGTGGCACGGCGCGGCTGCGTTTCGAGTGGCCAAAGCGCGTCGAGACCCAAGGCGGCAGCTGCTGGGTGCTGCTGCTTTGCATGCAACAGGCAAAAGGCTAATCGACTGGGTAGCAACGCTGCAAGGCCACGCAAGGATTACACAGCATGCCATGCCTACTCAACAGTACGGTGCTGCAGGAAATGGCAGGCGCCATCCGGCCCGCTCGCCGGCAGTGCGCCCGCCCCGACCAAAGCGGGTGTTGCGCCTGCTCACCTTCCTCAGGTTGTCCCAGACCCTGCGGCCCTCCTTGACGGCCAGCACGATGGTCGCAAAGTTGTCGTCCGCTAGCACCATCTGCAGACGGTATGCACAATTCAGAGTGTGTGGGGTCATGTTGAGGATCCAAGTGAGCGACGATATGGATGCGCAGTAACAAAACGAGAATGTGCTTGGGGCTTGACCACGAGCTCGCGTTAGCTGCTTGCCATAGCCCAGAGGACGCGCACGCGATTGTGAACACTGGCAGGCAGGGCAGGCGGACTGGGACCGGGTACTAGATTTTGGGTCCCCTCGCCGCTGCTCACCTTTGCGGCCTCCTTTGACACGTCAGTGCCAGTGATGCCCATCGCCACACCGATGTCGGCCGCCTGCGATTGCGTATGTGAGAAAATGGAGGGGTGGTGGGGCGGTGCAACATGTGCAGCAGAGCAGGCTGCCAAATTCAAGCCAGTACGCGGTGAGCGCTTCAGCAGCAGTGGTTTGCACCTGTTTCTGCCCCTCCGCCTCAACGATAATCACCAGCGTGCGGCATAGGGGGCAGCAAATCAAGCGCACACAGCGGCACGCACCACCCCATTGACACGCACTCAGCTCACAACTGGCATCACACGGCCTGGCAGCATGCGCGCCCTGGTCTCATCGCCGACTCGACGCGCAAAACAGCAAATCGCGCCCTTGCACCTTGAGCGCGTGTCACCCACCTTGAGCGCGGGCGCGTCGTTGACGCCGTCGCCGGTCATCGCCACCACCTGCCTGCCCGGCCTGTCTGCAGCCACCACCTCGTCCTCGTCACCAACCTCGGCCTTCTCAGTCCCAATCTGGATGGCGATCTCGCCGCTGCCCAGCGGGCTGCCGCCGCCGGGCGCGACGCGGCGCGCGTCCGCGACGGAGGAGGGGCCGGGGGCCGAGGTTGCGCGGCCCTCATCCTCGGACGGCGGGCCGTCGTCGTCGGGATCGTCGCCATCCATGGGGCCCTTGTAGGTGGGGCCGGTCTGCAGGGCGCGCACGATGCGCAGCTTGTTCTCTGGTGTACAAAGAGTGGAGGGTTGGTCGGAGGGAGGGGGGTTGAGGGAGGTGTGAGGGGTCTGCAGAGTTGGTCCTGGGAGTGACTGTGTGTGATTGACAGATCAGGGAGAACAGGACAGCGGGCTGAATAGCGAGGGGCAGCTCCCTAACAATAAAGCTGTGTGCAGAGAGCACTACGTTGAACGGTTGACACGCAAGCCGATGAGGCGTCTGCAGTGGGTGGAGCTGCGGCCAACTTATGGCAGTCTGGAGAGAGTATCCACACCCTTCCCCCCTCTAAAACTTACACACACACAAACACACACACACTCTCTCTCTCTCTCTCTCTCTCTCTCTCTCTCTCTCCCCTCATCTCTCTGAGACGACACAACGCACGCTCGCGCCGCACCTGGTGACGCGCGCGCGTAGATGTTGCAGCCGTTGACCACTGACCGCAGCTTCACGTCGTCCATGGCGTCGATCTCGGGGCCAGTGATGACGCTGCCATCTCCCGCGATGTCCAGCATGCGGCCGATGGC